TCCCCCCCCCCCCCAACACACTCCCTCATCCGACCCTGAAAATGATTACGCTGTAGAAGATGAATAAATGAATAAATATATGGAAATCAGATTTTAGGCTTCAGACCAGCTCAGTTCTGAATCTTTGGTCTGTAGTCAAAGAATATTGTTATCAACAAAATAACACAGGAAAATAAAAAGATTAGTGGCGAAACTTTTTCTTTTTCTTACTATGCATGGAATAAATTACGGAGCCACCCTTTAAAGCTCACACAGGTCCTGTAGTTTGCGGTAGTGTGAAGTCCGCCGTCTCTCTTAAACCAAATCAAAGTCTTCCCCCTGAGGGGCAGTGAGTGGAAGTCATTTTAAGCGTAATATCGTGAAACCGGCGAGACCCACGTTGGGAACATACGGTCACTTCACCGATTTCACACAGTGGAGGCAGCGGCGGCAGCAGAAGGAGAAGGAGATGTGGAGGGGAGTCACCCTCCTGCCAGAAAAGGAATCAGATTTGCTCTTGATTTGTATTCACAGACTGTGAGCGTCAGCACAAAGAAGAGTGATGTGTGAGGACTTTTAACTACTTTGGAGGGGAAGTGGAGACCACGATTCCACAAACATATCGACGCCGGTGTTTAGAAACGACACCTTAGAGCCTCTCGCTCAAAACTGCTTTTCCTCAGCTGATTATGATCCTGTTTCTCCGGTGCCTAATGATGTTCTTAATCACCTCGGCCCTGAGATGATCACCGTGGATGACTGTAATTTCATGGAGGGCTGCTTGATTTAAATCTTTTACACACACACACACGTGTATAATCAGACTCTCACATGACAATTTTCCAGCTCGTGCACACGCACATGAAGGTATGCCATCATGTCCATCACATTCATTTTAACACATACAGATGAGGACATTAATGGGGAGGACAGAGCGCCGTCCATGCGCCGTCTCTGTTCTATAAATAACGACATGGAAAGTGATAAGTGTTTCTAAAAGCTGCGGGATTATAATTCGACAGGGTTTGTTGAACGTATTAGGTGGAAAAATCTTCCAAGGCGGATAATGTTGGCTCACCGAGAAATCTGATCATCTTCACCCACAGCGTTTTATATCGCTCTGGGGCTTCATGCTCCAATTCCAACAGTCACGCTGACATTTGGAAAAAAGATGTTTTTTTTGGAAAACAATGGAAATAGTGTGTGGTTGTTTATTTAGCTGACAAATTGGCCATTTCTCCCCCTAACTGACAGCTGTATACTTAGCCAGGTTTGGCATTTTGATTTTAGTGAATTGTCTTCCTTTTATTATTCCCTATCATTGAAACCACTCTCACTCTACTTGAATATTTTTTTGCAACACTTTTTTTTTTTTCCACTCTCACTCTACTTGAATATTTTTTGCAACACTTTTTTTTTAAATTTTTGTTTGATCATGTTTTACTAATTTGGTGAGTGACTGAGGTTTGTTATGTGGCGAATAAATTGCTGTTTTTCCCTATTTTTTAATGACCAGATTAAAAAAAAGTTTTCTTTTTCATTGTTAGATTTGTGTTGTTTTTTCCCCCTTTTCTTTTCTCTTTAAGCTATTTCTTTTCTTTCCTTTGTTAACATTTTGCTAATGTATCTATTTGGCTAACACCTAGCCTCATCCTACTTCTAGCTATTGCTAAAATAGTGATACAGCATCTTATCATTTGACTAATATTTAGCTGTTTCTTTGTTAAACTGGTGGCTATTTCTACCTATTTTATGTTTTAGCATATTTTTCTTTTCTCATTTTGGCTTATTGCTTTTTTTTTTTTTAGCTATTTCTCCGAAATTGTAACCATTTTGCCACATCGTATGTGCATGTCATCCTACATGTACGTAATGACCTGTGTATATTATCTCACACAAATTGCATATTTAATGTTCAACCATGTTTGTAGTTCAACTGTGAAATATGGTGTATTTTTTATATATCTTTGGTATTAATTCACCATCAGGTATTTTTACATACACCTCCCACCTGCAATCAACGGTATGTTGACTGTTATTGTTCATTTTTTTTGTTATGTTTAATTTTTGATTAATTTTGTGGAAGGAAATCTTTAGTTTAAGAACAAGCTCTAATAGTAAGATGTCGTCTTTCTTCATTTCCATGCACAGTATGTTCACATTCTAAGTGATAAAGTGGCTGCTCCGTTCCTGCTCCCTTTTTCATTTATGACTTGTGATTAATGATTTGGCACGAGTGTTTAGTGTTTCCTACCCTTTCATTTTGGCTTAAAATCAGCACATCAAATGCAGAGTGGTGGCTGAATCTCATTAGTGTCTTTTCCACTGACGTTTTTATGTAGAGTGTGGAATCGAACCTCCAACCACATGCACCCACTGATTAACCCCTAAAACAACTTGTACCCCGATGACAAATTGATTTATGTTTTTTGCATCAGTATCTGCTGTAATATCTCATTAATGCACAGCAAGTTCGACTTCTGTCAAAATGCAAAGGTTAATGTGTTGCCACTGTGCATCAGCATATCAGCAAAAACAGTTCCTAGAACTTTCTTGCGTGCTGTTCTATATAAAAGTAAATCAGATGTGAAGTTCAAACCAATCTGTTTTGTGAAGTAAATTGACTCTAATGACTCCGTGGACTATTTTCACTCTCAGTAGAACATTTTAAGGTTGCACTGACAGGGCAGCAATTATCCCGAATAATCGCCCGAAAATAACACTGATGACAACTGTTGCCTGAGGGCAAAACAGCCATTAACTGGCCCCCAGCAGTTGCGGGGCAAAAAAAAAAAAAAACCAAAAAAAAAAAACCACAGTATTTAGCAGGAGTACATAAATAGATGTAGGGATTTAGGTCTCCTGCTCTTTGCTCTCTCCAATCTGCTGTCTGAATGACACCGTTTTTAAAGAGCAGGGGCAGAAAGGGCAGAAGCGGCGACACAGGGAACAAAGCCTGTAAACATCTGTAATGAAACACTTGAGCATTTTAGACTGAGGTTTTAAACCTGCATCACAATTTAACTGTGCATTAAAATATTATTTCAAGCTGCCGGTCCATCCTACAGAGACATTTAAAAGTTACTGTTTGCTCCTGGAAAAATAGTGACCTTTCTGATATTACCTGGTTTGCTTGTAGGTCTCCAGCTTGTGACCTCGTGACTGGGCTGCCCCTGTGAGCCAGACACAGAAGAGAACAAGAAGAGCCTCCACCTGCATGGTTTACATTCCACATAGGACGCACCGCTTCCTGTCACTCAGAATCCTCTCCTCTCCAGGGCTCGCAGCACTTTACCCTCCTGACACATTTCTTTCTCTATCAGCGGGGATGACAAATGACAAAAAGAAAGAAAAAAAAAAAACACACTGACAGCAGCTACACTACGGACTGTTTAACAGCCAGGGAAGAAAACATTCTACGTTGTTTAATCTCCACAGTGGGAAAAGCAATTTTGACTAAACCCATAAATCCTTGAGCGTCAGATGGCACAGATTTGATCCTTTCAGCAGCGGCTGTGCGTCCGCCTCTGTGTGTGCTGCTGCTGTGTTCAGATACCCTGCACTCTGATGATGATGCTCGACTCTACTTTGCACCGCCCAGAAACACCAACTCTCACAGTGATGCAGCATGCTCATCACTAAGGTCAACGGTTGAGAGAGAGAGAGAGAGAGACAAACTCCCACAGGCTGAGAGGAAGCTCTGCAACAGATGAGATAGGTGTCTCTGCCCACTCTGGTGCTGCAGCCTCCCCATCTGACTCTATATTAAACAGTAGTTTCCTGCCGTGGTCTTTTCCCACTGCTCCATCTCAGGCCAATTATTTTGGACACTCCAATTTTACTGATAAAACAAAGCAATATTTTAAATCAACGTTTAGGTCAATATTAAACAGATAAAACAACGGTTTGGTTTTACATTTCGTCACGTGCATAGTAAGCACAGAATCATCTGCTTTCAACAGACGACACAAAGAAGACCAAGAAAATCAAGGCCAACTAATGACTGTGTTCTTTTTATTCAGCACCACACTACAGGCTGCACCACTTTTTGTCCGCCAGTGACTGAGCCAATCCAAACAATGTCTGAGCGCTGACGTCACCTGGGAAACCTGTCCTTTTGATTTTAGCAAGCTGAACAGTTGGATTAAAAGATCATGAATTTAGGTTAAATAAGTGGACGTCGGTCTGCACGTACCAAGTCCTTGTGGGTTTGTAATACAAATAATACACGATCACAATATCAATGATTTACATTTTCTCTGGTTGGGAAGTTTAACATATGTTATAAATTCAATATTTGTTGGGACCGATTAAAGTAATGTAGATCTATGACAAAACAGGTTTAGATTCTCACAGTATACTGTCACTACTGCACACCAAAATTCTATCTCTCTATCTATCTATCTATCTATCTATCTATCATCTATCTATCTATCTATATATAGGTGTGTGTGTATATATGTATGTATGTATGTATATATATATATATGTGTGTGTGTATATATGTGTATGTATATATATATATATATATATATACATACTTAAGTTGATTCTACTTATAATTTACTTACTAAAGGTAAGCATCATGTGTGAGCCTTCTTGGCACATTCAAGTGCCATTGCATTTAACTAAAATATATATTGTCAGGTTAAACTTTCCGGTTTAACAGTTCTGTATTTTTTCTGTGTATAAATTAAAAATTATATATAGGTAAAAGTAGAAAATATTATATAAAAATGTGTCGGTACATTGTCATTGTGATTGTGATTAAGTCTCAAAGAAGGAAAGAACATTATGGTTGATTTAAGTGAAAAAAAAAGTAATTTCTGTCATCAAAATAATCAGTTGAAAATCTAGAGAAGGTAGACACATGAAAAAAAACCTCAAAATAATAAAGTATTTATTTTCTATCACTGCTTTAGGAATTGTTTCTGACATATTATTCAAGTTGTTTAGCTGTTATGAGTAGTTTCCGTGATCAAAGTTTGACGTCAGGCGATGGAGGAACTGAATCGGTAGCAGCGACTTTTGTATCCTGAAACTTGTCTGTCAGGAGAACACGCGTCAGATTTGGTTTATATATACATTGCATACATTTAAATCCACAAACTTATACTTGGCGTTATATAAAAATATGTATTACGAAATATGGCCTAAGCTTTTAATTATGTGAACATATACGGGTTTAACGTTTTGTGACAAAGTTGAAGTTGAGCCTGAGAAAAATAGCCTGAGCGTGTCTTATTCCTCCATAGAAGGAGAGTAGTCATTGGCCCACGGTAATGGCGGGGCTTTCTGAAGGCTTGTAGCGCTAACAACAACTGGTCCGACTTGTAGAGAATTCCTGCACGATCGAATAATTAAAGAATATCAATGGACACGAGGTTGTTAACCGTCTAACTTTAACGCTGTTTTGCTATTTTGGTAAAAGCGTTAGTTTACTAGCACGCCGTGTTTACGGAGCTGGTTCATGATGAGCTCATCGCGGGAGATAAAGCGTAAGTATAAGTTTGATCAGAAGTGTTTGCAGTGTAAAATGTATGTAGTGTTTTTTTTCTCAACCGAATAAATAATTATCATTTCTTGCAGAGTTGCAGAAAGCAAAGAGCAAAGCCCAGAACAGCAGCAATTTAAAAGAGGAAGCGAACATCTGTAATCAGCTGGGAGAGCTGCTGTCCAGAAATGGTGAGGGCTCTCTGTGTAAACTGTTGGTCTAGGCCTAGTTATTTTGTTGATGTTGATGCTGTTTTGTTTACCGATGGACACATTTATTCACTCAAATTTAGAAGCCAGAAATATTGACATTAACAAAGCTAGATGATCATATAATCTTACTGTGTGAGTGATTATCTGACTAATCCCTGCACCAATATAAACCACAATATTTCTCTTCCTCCTCCATAACTTTGATGGTCTTATAATCTTCGTCTTATCGAATGCTGTAGTCACATATCCAGCGTTGTTATTGTCGGATATGTTAATGTTTTGTGTACGTATCATGGTCAGTGATTTTAACTATTTTCTAAGCAATAAACCTAGGATATAGGTTTAGGAGATAGATATATAAGCCAAGCAACATTTGTTGAAGTCATGTAGAAAAATGCTATGGAATCTTATTAAACCAAAAATAAAACTTAAAAGTACAGTATTCATAGTATTCAGTCATACAAAAGCTAAAAAAACAAGAACATATTTACATTCAAGAAGCTACAGCACAACCTTAGTCTAACAATATTCTTATCGTATTGTCATCAATAATCAAGTTACATTTACAGTAATTTCCATCCATTAAAGTTTCTCTATTATTATTTACATTTTAAAATCTATGTATCTTCCCCTCTTCTTTGTTCTTCTTCTGTCACGTAGAACTTTTATTTCTCAGTTTATACATGAATTGATTTCAAAACTCACTGCTACAGTTTATACATGAATTGATTTCAAAACTCTTAACTCACTGCTTCCACTTTGACCTCCGTGTGTGCCAGGTGACCACGAGGCTGCCATCAGAGAGCACCAGCAGGAGTTGTTGCTCTGTGAGGTGCTGAAGGATGTGATCGGCCGGGCGGTGGCCAATCGGAGAATAGGAGAGTGTTACGCTGAGATGGGAAACATCGAGGCTGCATTAAAAGTTTGTTGTTTTGATGCCTGTAATTTTTTTTTTCTTACGTGTTTTTACACAGAAGTGCTGAAGCGTCTCCTTGCACTTGTTTTTTTCAGCACCAGAAGTGCCACCTAGATTTGGCTCGTTCTGTTCGGAATTATCCAGAGGAACAAAGAGCCCTGGCTACTATTGGTCGTACCTACCTGTTCAGTTATGAGTCGGACCAGTCGAGGAGCAGCTTGGAGAAAGCGGAGGATGCCTTCAGAAAAAGCCTGTCTGTTGTGAATGATCGTCTCGAAGGTGTGTGTCCCAAAAGGAGGTCCACGGATTTTATTTGGTCCATCTTTGTCCCAAACTTTTAAAATTTATTTGACCTGCAGGGTCGGTGCCTGTACGAGAGCTCAGTGAGATGAAAGCTCGCCTGTTCCTCAACCTGGGTCTGGTCCATGATCACCTGGGGGACTCCAAACTCTGCAGCGAGTTCATACGTCGCAGTGTCTTCATTGCTGAGTACATACATCTTAAACAGAGCTTCATACCTGAGAATGTCAGTTTTGAAAAGCTAACAGCGCAGTGTTGTTAATGGAGTCTTCTGTCATTTAATTTGACTGTGAAGGAAGAGCCAGCTGCTGGAGGATCTCTACCGTGCCAACTTCAACCTGGGAAACATCTACTTTCGCCACGGTCAGCATTCCAATTCAGTGCGCTGCCTGGAACAAGCCAAAGAATGTGCTCGCAAGATGAAAGACAAGTTCAGTGAGAGCGAGTGCTTTCACTGCATCGGCAAGGTATGAACTCAACCAGGTTTTTTCATTTATTTCCTTCCTCTGTGTCATTACAGTTTCCAGTAAATGACTTGAATCCACAGGTGCAGCTGTCTTTAGGTGATTTTGTCGCGGCTCGACGATCTCTTAAGAAAGCTCTGCAGCTGGGATCACAGCAGCTGCTGGACAGAGAGACAGTAAAGAAAAATTTTAAATATGGTATGGATTTTTTGTCAAGGTTTTGATTTACCAAATTATTTAAATTTTTTTTTACTGATACTTGAGTTGATCATATTGGGCTTTTTTCTGTCGTAGCTGATAAAGGCTGCAAATTAGAAGAACAGCTGGGAGAAGATCAGGGTAAAAACCCCACCTCCCATCAGGCCGTGGGGCTTGCAGAGCAGCTCGGGGATCTGTACTGTAAAGTCGGCTGCTACAGCAAATCCCTGGATGCCTATCGAACACAGGTGCGTTACACAAGTAAATCTTACATTCCAGAACACAGTGTAGCTTTAGAAACCTTTGGTTTGTTGTTGGTCGTGAACGACTCTGTTCTTATGATGCAGCTCAAAGGCGCTGAGGCTCTGGGGAAAGGTGCTCGGGAGTTGGCAGTGATCCACGTGTCCCTGGCTGCCACCTACACTGACCTGAGACAATACAGCCAGGCTATGGAGCACTACAGACAGGAGCTGGAGTTACGAAAAGGCAACTTTGCTGAGGTAAAAAAGAAGAAAGTTTCATCTTTGAGAGGGTAGTGGCGCTGAGGAGACACGACTAGATTTAATGTTTTGCCAGGTTGTAACTAAGGGTTTCCAGTCTGGAGAAGTCTGCTGCAGTTGTGGATATTTGTTGTGACTTGGGGAACAGACTTGAGACCCTACTTGACCTCAGTGAGGGTGCAATACAGGAAGCTGTATCAAAAAACAGCAGGCATATTTGAACAATGATGCAAACAGCCAGGGAGAAAAACGCTGACACAGAGTACGAGTGCCTACAGTAGGTACAGTATTAGTTGCAGTGAGATTTTGATGTCGTCAGCTGGATATAGGTAGAAAACACATCATCCCTCGGGTACAAAAATCTGTGTGTACAGCGTGTCTCCCACTTCAAGGTTGGAATCAGGTTATTGGCCTTATGACATCTTTTTTATTTTAATTTTTTCCTTAAACATTTTGTGTAATCTTGATCTTATGTGTCTATGTCCAATTGATCTGGTCCTTGAGCCTGCCTTGAAAGCAAAGAGCACAAAGTGCTGGGCCAGAGGGACCAGCTAATGACATTGGATAATAGCATCTGCTAAATGCAAATGCATAAAGGTTAAGCAGGTATAAATAGTTAAGACTGAATCAGACTCGGTTAATACGACACAATTAAATTCAAAGTTTTTTTATGTTGTTGTCTGTGTAGATCCTCTGTCATTTAAATCCAAAAATAGGGCAGTCGTTCTGACTGACTACTGTGCATCAATAAACAATGAAACAGAATAAAGTGGGAAAAAGACCTGAGGGAGAGTCAAAGAGATGTGAAAGGTGGCAGAGGAAACTGATTTAAACATTTATATTAAAAAAGATTAAATCTCTCCCCATCAGGAATGTGAGACCTGGATAAACATCGCAGCAGCTCAGGAGGACGGTCGCTGTGGCTCACAGGAAATAAACAGCAGCTACATCAAAGCCTTACACTGTGCTGAGAAGTGTGGCCAGGCCAGACTGAAGGTGAGATAATCTCTTTATTAAAATCTACCAGTTTTTACTTCAACTACACTTTGGAGCTGATAAGACATATTAGGTCTTTAGTCTTTGGTGGACCTTCTGACACGTGGACACCATCTTCTCTTTGCCTCTCATCCAGAAACGCGTACTGAGGCTCTGGCTGGCGTTCCAGAGACGCGCTGGTGAAGCAGATGCCGACGACACCGAGATGAGGCTGAAGGAGCTCTGCACAATCGAGAGCTGGAGTGTGGATGGGAGTGACGTCGAGGAGGATGAAGAGGAGGAGATGGAAAACAGCGAACCGATGGATGACAGCGACGTCGTCCTCTCAGATTCAGGTCGACTAGAAGCTGCAGATGTTTTGGTTTTAAGTGGATCCGTGTCAGCTTCAAAGATCTGGTTCTGATCTGTTCACATGTTCTCTAGATGACGATTTAGAGGGTTATGACAAGATGGTAACCGGGCGAAGAAAGGTGGGAAGGGTGAGTCTTCACAAACTCCACCTCATCTTTGAGTTAGCTTTAGATCACGGATGTTTTTCTCCCTAACTTTTCTCCCATTGATCTCCCATTGTTAGTGGAACAGGAGGAACGAGAAGGGTGAGACGTCTCTGCACCGAGCGTGTATAGATGGGAACTTGAAGCAGGTCCAGTATCTGGTGGAACAGGTATGGAGAAAAAATTAAAAAAAAATCCCAAAAGGAAGCATAGTCACAGCAGGACAGAAATGTTTACACTGTTGATATAGGACTGTTACATTAAATACCTAATGGTGTTGTATACATTTGGTACCTCAGGGTCACCCAGTAAACCCCCGGGACTACTGTGGCTGGACTCCCCTGCATGAGGCCTGCAATCATGGACACTATGGTAATGGATTTGGACCTGAGTTTATTGAAAAGAGCCTGAAAATTAATTTTCTGTTTTTAAAAAATATAGAAAAAGTGTACAGTATTTTACTTTACGTTTCCGCCACAGATGTCGTGGCTGTGCTGCTGGAGCGTGGAGCAAACGTCAACGACCCCGGCGGCCCCCTGTGTGAAGGAGTAACTCCTCTTCACGACGCCCTGGCATGTGGGAATTTCCAGGTAGCAAGGCTCCTGGTGGAACGAGGGGCATCTGTCACGCTTCGCAACTCCAAGGTGTGTTTTTATGACAGTATATTACAGGGTTCGTAAAGTCATGGAAAACCTGAAAAAGTCTGGGAAATTGAAAAGGCTTTTTCTAAGTCCTTGACAAGTTAATAAACGTTTTTGAAATATTGCATGGATAATATTTAGAATACATAAAACTGACTAATAAAATGCTGTAACGTGTTTTTTTTTCTTTGTACACCAATAATTTTCAGTCATCCAAATCAAACGTGTTCAATTTTTTGACTTTAAACGAAGGATCACACACATCTGTTCTTCCGTGCTGTTAGGGTGAGACGGCCATGGACACACTGCGTCAGTGGCAGAGGATGTACAGCAGAGAGCTGGACGACCAGACCAACCAGGAGTGCGCAGCTACAGAAAAGATAATTAGGAAAGCGCTGGCAGGGGGAGGTGAGGCCTGTAACGTGTTTTTTTTTCTTTGTACACCAATAATTTTCAGTCATCCAAATCAAACGTGTTCAATTTTTTGACTTTAAACGAAGGATCACACACATCTGTTCTTCCGTGCTGTTAGGGTGAGACGGCCATGGACACACTGCGTCAGTGGCAGAGGATGTACAGCAGAGAGCTGGACGACCAGACCAACCAGGAGTGCGCAGCTACAGAAAAGATAATTAGGAAAGCGCGGGCAGGGGGAGGTGAGGCTTGTTGCTGTTGCTGCCTGTTTTTTTTATTTTTTTATTTGTTAATCTTTTTATTATCTTGTTTTCTTTTCTTCTTATCTCTGTCTGACACAGTGCCTTCTGCTCCGGCTCCAGCCAAGCCTTTTGATGCCCTGCAGGACAGCCAGCTGTTTGATGCAGAAAATTCAGAGCCGCTGACGTCCTCAGGAGGGAGCTGTTCTGCTAACCACGATTGGCATGAACGCAGTAGGAGCAGGGAAGTGAAGGCAGGGCCTGTCAGTCCTAAGCGGAGGCAGAGCAATGGTTCCACGCAGCGCATCCGGACACGGGGAACGGAGGCTGCGGTTCTATATGGGGTACTGTCTGATTAATGCTCTCTCACGGTATAATTATGTCACAAACTCCAAATCTACAGTGATTACAAGTTATTTAATTTTATATCAATTCCACAGAGCAACAACAGCTGCTCTGAGGACAGTGAACCCGACTCCCCCATCAGTCCCCTCCGCCCCGTTCGCCCTCGGAACAGTTTTCCAGCAGCCCAGAGTCAAAGGGAAGTTGCACCAAGCAGAGAAAGCAGCTCCATCCCACCGTCAGTCGGTGCTCGGGAAAAAACAGCCACATCTGTCTTTGCGCGAGCAGAGTACCACAGCGCCATCAGAGGCCTGGGCAGCTCCAAAACTCTCCTCCAGGGGTCGCCACAGCCGCTGCTGTCCAGCACACCTGCTGTATCCTCCAACAACAAGTCAGCCCTGGTTTCTGAGAAGGAGTATTTGGCAGATGACTGGCTGGAGGACGACTTAGGGGGCAATCAACCCAAAAAGAAGAGGAGGCTTCAGGTTGATCAGACAGGAGGGAGCAGTCAAGATAGAGACATGAACTTTGGCACAACTTCCAGAGGTATTTTTAGTCATACAACATACTACATTTTTAGTCTACGTTTATTCAGATTTACGTTTCTGGTTTCTCGTCCTAATGGTTTTATGGCTGCCTGTAGGTTCTGCTGTTCCCGCCTCCTCCAGCAGGGGTCTCACCTCGAACAAGAATGGATCTCTGAAGCCACACCAGGTCAAAATGACACAGATGCCTGGAATGGTGAGACTGGGCAGACGGGAGGTCAGCAGGTCACACAGCCCAAACTGGACAGACGATGAGGACGTGAGATCTGTGACACCTCCACCTCCTCACGCACACGCACAGGTCAGAGGCCTGTGATGCCTGTCTTGACTCTAATTACATAATGGAGGAAAATGGAGTCACTCTTAGCACAAAAGTTTTTCACATTTTTTATTCAGCACACCAAAGTGATTTTATTTTTTTTTCTTTAGCTTGACTCCAGGCAATAGCTGGAACATCATCAGTCAGGAGTCTGGCTCTGTTTATTTTTGGATAGCGGTTAATGCAGCTCCAAATGAAAGGGTTTAAAAACACTGCTGCGGCCTCTGTACAGTTCTAAAGCTGCACTATAAAATTTAATATCCCAGATATATTTCCTTAATTTCCTTCAGGGAAACTTCTGAGGGATTAATAGTTTGTTCTGTCTGTCTATCACTCTGTGCACATGGGGAGAGTACATGCAAGGATGGGTTGGTCAATGTTGGAAAAACACAAAATAACCATGGGAAGTTATTGCATTATTATTGCATGAATGTATATAAATGCACATTAAATAATTGAAACAGACAAACCAGGGCTGGATTTAGGATGTTGATCTGCAACTCTGTGAAAGTAATAACATTAAAGGGTGATTAAGTGATGCTCAACATTAACTAATCATTGGGTCAATGCATCAAGGCCCTGTCTTTTTATGTAGAGTAAATATTTTATTTATATCACCATAATTAGATGATGTTCAATCCTGAGACTCTGGGGATTTAAATATTAGTTGTAAGTAAATGCACACCAGAAGGTCGTCTCGCTTTATTGTATTTATGTGAAAATCTATTTTATTTTTTATTTCAGCTTCCTTCTCAAACCTTGGCAGCATCCATGCCTACATCCCTTCCTCCACCAATCAGAATGCGGGTCAGAGTCCAAGAAGACGTCTTCCTCATACCTGTTCCACAAAGGTTTGTTTGTGGAACAAAATGTAATTAATCATTATGTTCCTCAGAATGGTCTACCAGGACGTCTTGCGCCTTGTACATCCATGCAGCAGCCATGTATCATCTCTTGGAGTCTGTTACATGTGAATGTGCGATGCTGTTTTTTTTTGGATTTATTTACACAGATGTTTTCTGCCTGTTTCAGTGCGGCAGACTCCTGCACCGTGTCGTGGTTGTGCGAGCAGGCTGCTCAGCGTTACTACCAGAAGTGTGGACTCCTGCCACGTCTGTCGCTGCAGAAGGAAGGAGCTCTTCTGGCCCCACAGGACCTGCTGCTGGCTGTGCTGCACACCAATGAGGAGGTGAAGCAGAAGTTTAGAAACCTAATGAAAAAGAGCTCTCCTGATGTACAGATCTTAAAACTATACCTGCATTAAACAACACAGGGTTTGTGCATTTCTGTTAGAATTCCTCATCTTGATGATAGATAATTTTGTGCATATTTTATAGACCAGGGGTCCCCAAAACAGCATTAGCTTCTGGTCGGGGACTGCCTTTACAAACCTGCATACAATGCTACAAAATAGCATTCTCTGTAAGAAACATCAACTTTTTGAATGTATTTATTTACTTTTATTCACCGTTCAATAGTTATTACAATTGTTTGGCGCAAGAAGATTATTAACAAACATGTGCTAGCTAGCTACACGCTAGCTTGAGGTGCAGAGCAGCTTGATACCAGGTGCGAACCACCAGGTCTACACAGATGGGGAAAGCGTTGTAATGTTGCAGCTGCCATACAAGGTGCATTTAAGTACCATCGAAAACTTGAGAATCCAGCACTTTGTGTGTTATACAGTTCAGTTCAAATTGTTATAGAAAATATATATAAAATTCATTTAAAATCTAGTGCCCCCTTGTGGCTCCCCCACTTTGAAACCCACTGTTATAGACTATATATTTGTTAGAAAAGGTAACAGCTCACAACGGTTATGAAGACTTTATTTCCATTTGTCCAGAGTCAGATTGATTATTATTCGAGTGTCCAAAAATTTTTTACGATGTCTTTATATTGAGAGATTTGGAAGTAGAGAACGAGTTGTGTGTGGACCATGGTTTTATATTGGATTTACTGTACATTGCAGGTTTTGGCTGAGGTTTGCTCCTGGGATCTTCCTCCTCTTCCTGAACGATACAGAAAGGCCTGTCAGAGCCTGGCAGTGGGTGAGAAACACATTCGACATCACCCACAGGCAGACAACCATACTTTGATGGTCATCAATAAATCATAACCAACGGTTGTCCCCCTGCAGATGAGAACAAACATGTCTCCAGGTTGTGTGAGGTGCAGGACGGCAGCTCCTCCTTGTCCGTCTCTGGTCTCAGTTTGCCGTCCTCTGCCCTCAACCCGCTGCTCCGTGCCCTGAAACTTCAGGCCAGCCTCACAGAGCTGCGACTTTCTGGGAACCGTCTCCCTGACAGTCTCCTCCCAGAGCTGGTCGCCGCTGCCATCACCATGCCTCGGCTTCGGGTGCTGGACATCTCTGCCAATCACATAACAGCGGATGGACTGGGGAAGGCGGTGAATTCTTTGAAGGGACAAAGCCAAGCTGCCTTTCCGGTACGTTCCACACTAGAAGTTTTAAGTCTGTATGTGTTATGTTCTGTGATGTTGAGTCATCATTTCACAGAATGAGTTTAATGTACGTCAATTACAATACGTGTTGAACACGTCACCATTTTTCACAGTGAATACATTTCAGAAAGTGCTCAGTTCTCATGAACTTTACAACAGATGTTGGTCAGGACCCACTTTAGCTGTTGTAGCTGTGACAGTTTTCATGGTGTGAAAACCAAAAGGTCCCCCACCCAACCCTGCTGGGAAATATTAGCAGACCACAAGCTAGTTTCACTTTTGTACGTCAATCTATGGAAATGATGAATAGATTTTGTGGTTTGTTTTTTGTCTACTAGTGCCTGGAAGAGCTGGACCTCAGTATGAACAACCTGGGTGACGGTGTGTCCGAATCTCTGTCCTCTCTGCTGTCCTGCTGTCCTCTGTTAGCAAAGCTGTCCCTGCAGGCCTGTGGCCTCACTGCTCGTTTCCTGCAGCAGCATCGACTGCTGCTGGCTAGCGCTCTCACAGGCAAGAACCACTGTAGAGTCACAACAGGGGCCACGTCAATGTCAGGGGGGAAAACAGTTTGTTGAGGGGCTTTACAGAATAGATTGCAGCTTGTATACATGTTTATATTCCAGGGTCAATCACCACTGTTCAGTCTTTGTTTGTAGAATATGAGGTCGACATTGGTTGAGTATTGCTGCATTCAATGTGTGTATTTGTCAGTCTGATCATGTGACGTCATCGATTATCACAGCTTCAGTGATGTTCTTTATTGCCATTGTCACAGTGGTCAGGATGAAACAAAGTCATACTCCTATTGGATAATTTAGCTGTCAAATTATGAAGGCATTTTCCACCTTTCGGTCCACAAACAGTTAATTTGCAATATACAAAACAGTGGCTATAAATTGAGGATTAACTGATCCTAAAATGGAGAGAAAACATGTTCTCCAAGGAGTAATTTTTTTCTTTTTGTGCTGTGGTGATGAAGGAACAGGCCACCTGAAATCGGTGTGTCTTGCCCATAATGCACTGGGCTCCACTGGCTTTGAATTGGTGCTGAAGACGTTACCCATCTCCCTCCTCACTCACCTGGACCTGTCGGCTGTTTGCAGAGGTCCTACGGATTACCCAGCACTGGAACACCTCACCAAAGTCCTAACGCAGGTATTTGTTTGTGTACATTCGCTGCCAAAGAAACACTTGTTTTTGAATATTCAAGTTCATTAACAACTTCAAAGTGATTGCTTTTTGTCTTCATTTGCAGGAGGAGTGTTCACTGGTCCACTTGAATCTGGCAGCTAATGGGTTAACAGACAGCAGCGTTGCCACCTTGGCCAGGTGTTTATAGCTTTTCTGGCTTCATTGTGATGTTTGTTTATTGATTTTTTTTTTCTCTTCTGCAGCTCTCCTTGTCTGTGTGTAAGTTATTTTATTGATATCTCCCTCCTTTCAGATGCCTGCCTTCATGTCCGACCCTACTGAGTTTAAACCTGTCAGGAAACCCTGCCATCTCCTCAGCTGGACTCAGCAGCATCCTGCAAGCTCTCAGAGAAGCTGCTCATCCTCTGACATATCTCAACCTGCAAGGTAAGGGCTGCGTGTCCGAATGTGTGTATTAGGACTTTTTGGAGTATTTTGATTTGTTCCTAGTGAAACTTTTGAGATTTCTCAAAGAATTTCAATAAACGATCTAATTTGATAGGATGGTCTAATACCATTTTTGCTAACTGGTAAAAACATTTTTACGTATTCTCGCTGATAGTACCGATACAGATACGTCTTTAGGTTGGTTTTCAATAAATGTTCATTGAACCAGAAGGCGGTGTTCTATACTGTAGGAGGTACACCTCTGGGAAATGGTGAGGATGTCATAATGATGACACCAAATAGAGTAATGTTTACAGATATTAACATTAAGTTTATTTTAATCCAAAAGCAATCATATTTCTGGTTAAAATTGTCATTTCAGAGACACTATCATCACATTAGGCAACGCATGAATACAATGAAGGATACAATAAATACAATTTAATATTAACATAGATACATGTCACTAATTTAGAAGAATGGATGGTTGACAAATAACACAATTGGTCTAGTAAGATTTCTACTTAAATTTGATCCAAACATTAAAAATGCGGTGTGATATATAAATATGGTCCGGCACAAGCGTGACCCTAGTGATTAAAGCATGCCCCCCCCCCCCCCCCCCAAAAAAAAAGTATTGTAAAAATGTTTGATGGCTCTTCAATTAATATAAAATTACACTTTCACTATAATGTGCATTTTGAATGGGCAATAATTTAAATATCTTAACTCTGTTGATTTTTTTTTTCAATGTCATGAAGTGAGTTCTGCTTTTTTTTTCTTTTTGTTAAAATGTTCTGTATCTTCTCCAGCAGTCATTTTTTTGTCTCATGGTGTGAAATTATATATATATATATTTCACAAAATGTACTTAATTATTAAAAATCACTGCCGCCTGGTGGCTAATTTACATATAGGCTAACTGTTTTTAGTTGGCTTGTGCTAAATCTGTTAATAAAACTGTAAAAACTTCCTCTACAGGATGTCAGGTGTCGGGGCCCTGGGGCAGTGCAGATCTGGATGGATTGACTGAGTTGGTCCAAGATCTCCGTCTCTGCTCTCAGGGACTTAACAAACTGGACAGGCAGGCCTTAAAGCAGACCTGGGACATCAGTCAGGCACATGGACACTTCACTGACAGACAGTCCAAGTGTTTTCTCACTGCTGCTTTAACATAAAGCAAAGAGAGATATAAATCAGCTTCATGACATTTGGTGAAAATGTAAATAGATTAAATAGGAATATCTAGTGTTATGTAGCCCTTATTTATGTAAAACTATCAAAAACAGAATATAGGTAAAAAGTTTGTTTGTCTTCTTTGTACTTTGAAAAAAAGATTAAAGTGATTCATGCTATCATGCTCGCTGCTTATTGGTCTTTTTGCAGTTATGGAAGTGAAAAACTACAAACATGACCAAACAAACAAAAAACAAATATCCTGTGGTTTTGTTGTTGAACCAACTGGCATATTTTTCATATAAAAATTAAAAATATACATTTTAGCATATAATTACTAAAATATAAATGCACTGCGTTTTACCAAACACATTTCATAAAAGTAAATAGCTGTCTTTACGTGGCGATAATGAACAATAGAATATTTTTTAAATTAAATCACGCCGTATTCCATTTCTCAGGGTTCGGTATAAAAAAGAAAGAAAGAAAAGAAATATGTTCAATTAAACCTCCGTAACGCTAAACGCCACATATCCAGGGCCGAGTTAACGTTCGAACTACCGGAGGTTACGTCACTGTAAGAACGACCTGAAAAGCCATTTTGACGAATAGTGTTTAAATGCAAATTATATAAATAAACACGCATTTGACGTCGGTATAGTTGACAATTAACGTTAGGAAAAGGAATGGAATTTCTAAAAAGTAAGAAAATGAATTAATTGTACACAGCAAAAACAAATAACCGAATGATAGACAGAAATATTTTACTCGGGAAAATTACCTATTACCGTAAATCTCATTTCAAAGCACCACCGTAAGTACAAATTTATTTTACTTTGAGTATCGTATTTTGTCTCATAGTAGACATTTTTCTCATTACTTTGCATTAATAAGTATTCGTATTGAAAGGGATTCTGGTCATTTATTTTCTTTTTTTTAATTATACGCGTTTCAGCATGATTAAAAAGTTCAAATAATTTTATACAATATATTACTAGTGACTGGGACCGCCTTATGTTCTAAGAACCACAGCAAATGCCTACGCATGAGTTTTTTTTAATGTTATTTCACCCATAAAACCACACGATGGCAGTGTTGTTAAAACCATATAAAAACTGGCCCTTGTCTAATCCATAACAAGACATGATACTGTCGTTCATGGTTCAGTACTACAATGCACGGTAGTTCACAGTGATTTTACGAATTCCACGAACAGATAATGAATGTAACAACGAGGGAACACAAATATTGTTATGCAGGAAATTTTTATTCATATTAATTCATTTCTATAACTCGTGCACACTTGAGGGTTTTCTCATAAGTTACATGTTTCAATGTTTTTCCTAATAAGCTTGATGCTTTACTGTGTCCCACCACTGCTCGGGACTAACACCCAGACCAGGGTTTGAGAACCCCTGCCTCATGGTGTCTCCTGCTTTTGCCTCTTCAGTTGTTTGGATAGAAGAGGAGATGAGAGGGTTCCTTTGGGCTAAAAACAAGCCGGTGAACTTCATGTAAAAATGCAAACTCTGTTGTTATACAGCAGTAAATATATTTAAACAGTATTATCCGAGTAAATTTAACTGCCATTACTTTACCGTAATAACACTCGTGTGACTTACTTGCAGGCTTTAACGTTGACACAGATGGTCTTCACGTCATCGGTGGTGGAGAGCTCCTCGACCAGTTCATCCAGGTGGGTTATTACAAATTTGTGACAACGACTTTTGAGAAAGCCTATTTTATTGCAGATTTTAATCAACCTCGCTTTCACTTTCTGTAATACAAAAAAAAAAAGGCTAATCAAATTACAGGTCATCACTTCAAAAGGAATGAGCGGTCCTGGTAGAAAAATTATTGATTGTTTTACCTCATATGTCTCTTTTTGTGTCATCGCTTTCTTCACCTTGTTCAATGCCCATTTGCAACCCCAGCACAGACCTGGAGGCTGTGCCGGTGAGAAGAGGAAACAGGGATGCTTTATATTTTTATTGGTTTCAATTTGTTTTTTCAATTGAGTCAGTTTATTATTATTGTCTTATTGAATTCAAACATAAAGTTAAAATTCTTTTAAAATATTGCATAGGACTTGCATCTCAAAATTCAAACTCTAATCTGGGTATTCAGATTCTTTAATCAACCATAGAAGTCTTTTTAAAAAAGTAAATTTTCCAATCTTAATCCAAAACTGGATTAGGAAGCTATATCTTAAAGCCTGGAAAAACTAGCATCATGGGATCAAATCAATATTTAAAGATATAAATAAATGACTAACTGACTTAAAAATTACTTTGAACTTACTTGAAGATACAACACATCCCAACACATTAAAACAAACTTTTTACAAGAGTTTTGTCTAGTTATAATTCAAAGTCATGGCAAACACACAGATGAAACTGCTGAACATGTGTCACCTGATGTTGTAGAATTAAGTTCAGCTTTAAACCTTTAAATCTGCTGTGTTACCTTGGCCTCCACAGGGAGCTCCACTTCCGCTGGTTCCTCATCATCAATATTCATCTCCTGGCTTTTCCCATGGACTGACCAGACTGAAAGAAACAGAAAACACTGTTAAAACACTGAACCCACACAGCAATATGGAAACGACTGCAGGCGTCAAAAGACAGAACAACAAACCTGAACAAGCAGCCAGGATACAGAAGAGCAGGATTGGAGATTTGTTCATGGCTGACACTGATCAGTGATCTGAGGCTCCTCAGAGTGTGAGTGAATGTATGCTGAGACACGGTTTTATACACATCAGAGGTGAGGGGCTGTACTGCAACACCACTGCAGACCACCACTCACCACAGATGGAAAATTTAACCTTAACACATTTTTTTAAACTTGTGGTTGTTTTGTTCACACCACGTACGCGCCCCATGTTCTCACAAAGTGCAAATATAGCTTTTTAACCTCTTCATTTTCTTTTGAATTCAAAAACCTCATCATCACTGCAGATCACAGTCTAGCACCAACAAGAACTGAACGTTTAAGATCAGTATATCAATTTAATTTAATTTGATGATGTTTTTCCAAACTGATGCACTGCTGTTTGTATTATACAACATTTGGGTTTCATATTTAACTGGTTCCAGTGCTTTGTAAAATCCTTTGATATATATATATATTTTTTTTCAAATTTTCATGAAAATCTTTGCGGAAAAAAAATCAAAATTTTATGTTTCTCATCAAATTAGAGCAGTGTAACATTTAACAACATATGACCTGATGTAAAACTTAATTTTACAATTTCATTGTAAACAGGTCTCTGTAAAACCAACAACTCCTGTGGACTTTCCAACAGGTGGCAGGCCAACAGCCTTCCTCAGCATCATAATTAGCACGTTTCTGAAACACAGTGATAGCAGAAAAACAACCAAATGTTAAATCCTAGGTTATAACAAGATTCAGTGAGCATGAATATGTATTCTGTATCTCTGTAGAACTCTATATAGCTATGTGTAAACTGTAAAATACGATACCAATAAGTTAAAAAACAGTTTCTCAAAAATGACTAA